GCAGACTGTTGAGGGTTCAGCCTCCTGATGAGTCGGTGAAACTCCGACGAAACAGTTCGTCACAGCCCCTCGTTTGTTGTCCTCTTCTCCCTCTCTGCCTACGGTTTACCGGGCAGTTCTATTTGACGATATATATGACGATATATTATATATATATATATAAAACTCATTTTTATTAGGCTTCGTAAGAGCGCCTCTCTTGCCAAGGTTGAATATCTTTTTTTTTAGTTTACTTAAGTATTAGTTGGGCTTTTCTTCTGGTTGTATTTACTTCCTCGTTATCACTTTGGCGAGACCACGGAGAAGTCCGGATTTAGACTTTTTTCAACAAAGGATTTTGAATTCAAAAAAGAAAAAATACGTTAAGAAAGGGTGGTAGTAGGGAAATATTTAGGAATTGCCCCAATTGTCTCCGTATTTCTTACCGTGAAAACCAAGCCAAGTTCGATTCTCAGGGTTAAAAACAGGGCTGGAGCAGTGGTAAATTGAACTAAATTCTTCTAATTGGGAAATAAATTGAAATAATCAATGCCTCAGGATCTCTCTCCCATAACGTCGAGATGCGTTGAATGAGTACATCTCATGTAAGGGATGCTGAACCCACTTTCCAGCATTAATAATACGAAATCCCCGTTTTCTTAAAATAAATAAATAAATAAATAAATAAATAAATAAATAAATAAATTTTAAATTTTAATAAATTTTAAATTTTTAATTATTTTTTAATATTTTTATACCATTTCCAATCGTGTTCACCCGACTCCAGCGCCACATGGCCACACTACCTGTGGCTTCAGTTGTTGCTAATGAGCTAGAATTGTTCTTCAGGTACCAACTCATGGTACCATAAGTTGGTACCGTGAGTTGGTACCTGAGCATGGGAACCAGACTTTTGAGGAAGGCTCAGGTTCCATGAGTTTCAAATTTTCAATGTCTCACTGACTCTCACACATGAATTGGATATCTTTCCTTCATACAGCTGTTTTGCAGATTTGTCAGGCAAGTTATTGAAGGAGCAATTGTTGACGAGGACCATTCCTACTGTGCAGATGACAGCCATCTCCAGTCTGCTTGACTCTGTAAGGTGTGGCAACAGTGGCATCGATCGGTGCTGGGGATTTTTTGAGTCAAGTTTGAACTTTGAATTGAGTTCTCTATCTGTCTTTCCGCCCGAAGCTTCTGAGGAGTCAATCAAGTTTTTGCTCAGTAGTTCGCTGATGTGATGTGGTGGAAACAGACGGCAGGATTGTGCGGAGAAAGAGTCAAAGAGACTCTTTGACAAACATAGCAACTGGGCGAAGGACTCCAGGCCAACTGAGTTGACTATCTGTCTTTCCTCCTGAGTCCAGACTCATCCTAAGTCCTAAGTAAGTAATCGCTCAGCCTGAGGGTGTTTTGCTTGCTAGTCCGCCGATGCGACGTGGTGGAAGCTGACGGCAGTCGTGTGTGAAGGAGGAGTGAAATACACTCTCGACATACACCGCAGCTGTGCGAACGAGGCCAGTTGAATTTTCCGTTAACAATGTGGCTTCCTTCCCGACTCATCCTTGGAGGCAATTAGAGTTTTTTCGTGCCCCTGCAGTGCACGCCGTTTTGTGCCGATGTTGCGCTTGTCGTTCCCCGCCCAGTCGTCCAGAAAAGACAAAAGTCGGGGGAGAGGCAAATGAAACCCGCCCGCCTGCCCACCCACAGATACACACACACACACACACACACACACACACACACACACACACACACGCGCGCGCGCGCGCTTGCTGTGTAGACCACAGATGTGAGGTTGTGGAAGCTGCCAGCAGTCTCGTTTAATGTTGAGGTGGTGGAAGCCCGACGGCGGTCTTGTGTGAAGGAGGGAGAGAGACTCTTTGACAAACATGGCGACAGATACCGGGCCAGGTGGACTTATGCTTACTGTATGTTTTGAGAAGACGGGTATTGGAGATAGTCTCTTGGAGGTTGATGCGCACCCTCACAAGCCTTGGCTCCTGCTCATAAGTGAGAATAGGGAGCTGCATGTGTGGAGCTATGAGGAGGACAAGTTGATTGCTGTTCAGACGTGTGGCAGCGGGTCGTATTTTTGGAAGGCAAAATTTTTAGCTCAGAACAACTGGATCGTGGTTGCTTCGTCTTCTGAAACTGCTCATAGTCGCAACGAAATTATCGTTTATGGAGTGGTGGAGACTCCAATCGTCGACCCACGGAAAACTGAAGACGTTAAGCGGTCGCAGAAACTCGAAGAAGTTAAGCGGTTACAGTACTGGTCGAACGAAATCAACTACCTGGCTGTGGATCATTGCGGCCCGCAGCACGTGCTGATTCCGTCTGTTTGCACGGGCGGGGTACTGGTCTATCCGTACGGCCGCAAGATGGAAACACCTGAATGGCAGGGCTTCGAAACTTGGGATTTGAACTGTGATTGGAAGCATACCACCTTCGGCAATTGTCAGTCACTCGTAGCGAGGGTCGTATTCCACCCTCTCGAACCGCATATTTGTGCGTCTGCCGGGTACGATGGGAAAATCAATGTGTGGGACGTTGAAAAGGGGTCCTGTCTGCATACGCTCGAAGGCAACGACCCGATTTCTTCATTGCAATTCAGCCCCGACGGGCGGAAGTCGCTTTTGATCGCCGGCCATCCTTATGGCTGGGTACAGATTTGGGACTACCGGCAGAACAAACGTGTGGTCCAATTTCGAGCACATGAATGCTCCGTCGTGGAGGCCTTCCTCCATCCACACCTGCCGTACATTTTCAGCGCGTCTTCAGACGGGACCATCAGAGTTTGGGACCCTTCTAGCTACACGTTGGTGAGGTCCTGTTGCACCAGTAGCTTGAAGTCGCTCTCGAGCATGGCTCTTTGTTGGAACACAGGAGGGATCGCGGTTGGAGGTAAGGGAGCCGTCGCGGTCATGAAGATAGATATATCGAATACCCACCTAAGGGAGGTGTTAAGAATGGGGGAGGAGTCGGCGAGGCAAAGACGGGAAGTGGAAATCGCACGGCAAAAGTGGGAAAAGGGTTTGCGGAAACTGAAAGCAGAGCACGAGAGCAAGGCACGAGTGTATGCGAAGAAGATCAAGGAGCTCATGGCTGCAGTAAACGACCTGACAGCAGAACGGAACGCACTGAAAGAGATTTTGGGGCATCCGTCAGCTGAGCATGAGAATAAGGAGAGAATGCAGGCAAAGACGATGAAGCGCTGTAGGAAGGAGGGTGGCGATCGCACGACAGATAGGGATACCTTCAAAAACTTTCAGGCGTCCGAGCAATCTGCAACCGAGGAGAGGGAAGAAAAGGATCAAATACGGGCAAAGAAGTTCAAGACGGTCTAGAATGACATTCTCAAAATCTCAGAGCGGAGACTTAAGGTCTTCAGGAAAGGAGCATCGTCAAGCCGTCAAACAAACAAAGAGAAGTTTAACTCCACTTCACAACATAGGGATACCTTCAAAAACTTTCAGGCGTCCGAGCAATCTGCAGCCGAGGAGAGGGAAGAAAAGGATCAAATACAGGCAAAGAAGTTCAAGAAGGTCTAGAATGACATTCTCAAAATCGCAGAGCGGAGACTTAAGGTCTTCAGGAAAGGAGCATCGTCAAGCCGTCAAACAAACAAAGAGAAGCCTAACTCCACTACACAACATGCTAACCATATTTTGAGCCAGTACTAGTTTCGACACATTGAAAATGTTGGGTCAGTCCAAATGTATCTGGTCCAAGGGTTGATCCAGATACCTATCGAATGTTATGTAATGGAGCGCAAAGGCCCAAAGTCTTCGGAAGACGCACCTTGGCAATCTAAAGCAGAAAATGACAACCAAGAGGATATGTCGTTAAGTAATAGGAAACCAATTTGAAAGTTTGTAATCTGGTGGAAGTCTTAGGGCATGCTCACACTAGCACTTTTCTTTTCTTTCCTTTTTTTTTTTTTTTTTTCACACACTAGCACTTTTCTGAATGTATCTGACTGAAATTACGGCCAGAGCTGGATGAATTTGACTGCAATCGCGTCCAGAGCCTAGTTGAAAAAGTCCTAGTGTGAGTATGCCCTCAGAGAGGATTGGCATGGCAACGGAACAGGGATTTGGGTAATAGAAGGCGAATGTTAGGGAATCGGAATGCCAACAAGTACTATAGCAATGTAGATGGGAAAGCGAGGTGAGCGCACAGGAAAGGTTAAAAAAGAGTACTCGCGTACAGTCAACGAATGCTCGACCAATGCGAGCATCGTCAACGAGTTTCGCGAATCTTCGTCGAAGCAGTTGAAGGCTGCAACGGGAAACTTCGAGTCGGACCTGAATCGAGTCGATTGACCATTGCTGTAGACTTGAAGAGGAGTATTCTGGAGGGAGGTGGTGTCTGCATAGGAAGCAACGCTACATTGGTTGCGATAAAGAAGTGGTTGACGAGGGAGACGAGTGCATCGGAAAGGTTAGAGGGTGCTTGGTAATGTCAACGATGCTCGTCCGATACGGGTGGCAACGAAGTTCAGGGATCTTCATTGAATGAGTCGAAGGCTGCAACAAGGAAACTTGGATTATAACTACAAACTTGAAGAGAAGCACTGTGGAGGGAGGAGGTGTTCACACCGAGCTAACGTTACATCTGCTGTTGCGATGAAGAATTTGAAACAACTGGCCTAGCTCAGGTGATACACCCCTGAAGGGCCTGAACTGTTGAAAATTGAAATACAGACCGCGTGCTGAGTTCGAACACCAGTGAAAGCAGATGAGTGAGTGAAATTTCAAATTTCACAATGCTGAATTACGTTGGGTCGGTCAATTCGATGAGGATATCGCAAGGCTATTGCCCATTCTAAGGGGGGGGGGGGGGGGGGGGGGGGGAAACAATCAAGGCTCTGCTAGGAGGTGGTGGGCATTATTAGCATACAAGATTGACGAGCGAGAGGGTGGCGCAGCTGAGATCTTAAAATGGGACTCAAAGGGACTTAAAGCCTTAAAGGGGTTTAAAGGGAAGCACCTTAGAACATGGATGAGTAAGATGGTGGGGCTGGTTGAGGTCCCTTTCAACACCGCTATTCGCTAGCAGACCCCCAGGGGCTGATATCCTAAAATGGGACTTAAAGGGGCTTAAAGGGGTTTAAAGGGGGGTGCCTTACAACATTGATGTGGGAGAAGGTGGGGCTGGTTGAGGTCCCTTTCAACACCGCTATTTGCTTGCAGACCCTCCTGAGGGTGTGCTATGAAGAACATTGTCACAGCAGATGCAAACGTCAGAGAATGGGTCTGGACTCTGGAGTGTGGACAGGTCAACAAGGGGGATTTCTGCCACAGTACAAGCAGCACCTGAAGATGTTGTAGCGGCTGCTCGAGCACCATCTGCCCTCCGTCACAAGTCGAAGTGATTCAGTCAGTCGGGAATTGGTTGGCTCCGTCACAAGTCGAAGTGGTTCAGTCAGTCGGCAGTTGGTTGTCCTATTATAGTTCTCTCTGCCATCAACTCTTAAGCAAGAAAATGTCTCTCCTGGAAAGCGATCTTGTAGGGAGACACCCAACTTTGCAAGCAACACAGTTAGGAAGGCTCTGGTGATCGCGACTTCGCAAGCAGGAAGTAAGTTGGGACATTGAGGGATCCCAACTTTGCAGGAACTTCAAGTCGGGACATTGAGGGATCTCGACATTGGCAAGCAGGAAGTTGTGAAGTTGGGACACAAAGGGATCCCAACTTTGCAAGCAGGAAGTTGGGACATCAAGGGATCCCAACTTTGCAGTAAGTTGGTACACTGACAGATCCCGACTTAAAGCTTGCAAGCAGGAAGTTGGGACATTGAAGGATCCCCGACTTTGCAAGCAGCACATGTTATGTTGGGGCATTGAGGTCTCTGAACTTTTCAAGCACGAGGTTGGGACATCGAGGGATGCCAACTTTTCAAGCAGCAATTCAGAACGTTGGGGGATATGAGCAAATCCCAACTTTGGAAGCAGCGCAGTTGAGGCTGCGCTGTGCAAGTCCTTTTTTTTTTAGAGTCGGACAGACGCAACCGGCCATGCATGGTGGTGGCAAGTGAAGGAGCAATCCTTCTTCTTCTTCTTCTTCTATATATATGACGATATATATATATATATATATATATATATATATATATATAGCACCTACTAGGCTGATGAGAATTTTGGTCATGAAGTGGAACTCGCTGCTTTCACGGAGGGCATCAAATAAATAAAACCAAAAGGTCCTAGGTCGTTTAGACGTCGTCATTGGTGGGACTTTGTCTGGGACCGCATGGAATGAAATCGAAACGGCAACCGCCCAAGCATGGCAGTGGCAAGTGAAAGCGCAATCCTACCTACAAGGCCGATGGGAATTTTGCTAAGAAAGTGGAACGCAACTGCCTTACTGGAGGGCACCAAGTAGACCAGTGAAAGGGTCCTCGCCGACCCCTCGGCACTTGAGACACCACTGGTTCAGCTTCATCTGGAAAAGTGTGTGGATTCAGGCGAACCAGCAACTTGAGCTCCCCAATGCAATTCCATCCGGTACTACCGTCTTCACCCGAATAGAACGCTCGGTTATTATAGCTCTATCTGGACTGAAAAGTGCACCAAATACGCCTATAATGACCGGGCGTTCTATTCGGGTGAAGACGGTAGGGCTGAGTTTAGGAGTTGAACCACCAGTACCTATTGGGTTCTTAGCCCCCCTCTGACTCGAACGAAGACAGACGCGCGGTAGGCAGATTCATCCGAACGCGGTAGGTACTGGTGGTTTAACAAGTAGTCAATCTAGACTCCAGAGAATCTGAGGAACAGTGTGTGAGACCTTGCGCCATAGCATTCTGCCTTTTTTTTTTTTTTTAAGGGTTGGATAGTCGTCAACATTTGTCAGAGCCATTTAACCCAGGTGCAATAACCCATGCAGTATGCCTCGTTGAATGTCCAAGAGCCTTGCCAGGCCACCACTCGGTCTCAGGCCAAAAGGGGAAAAAGACCCCTACGTGGATCCAGGGCCTGAGCGGGCAACAGTTGACCAAAGTCAGCTGCCCGAGGCCAACAGTCAAAGTCAAAAGTGGACCCAGCCCAGGCCGCCGGTCAGACGCACACGCTTGTTTGTATGCAGGTACCCAGCCAGTATCAGGACCAAGTGCAAGTCTGCAACTGTACACAATCCAGGCCCTCGGCTGTGAGTCAATCTGCACGACTGTGGGTGGGAGACCTGAGGCCAGACTGCCTCGTCAAACACTACATAAGGCTTGGTCTCCAGGAAGTCAACATTCAGTCTTGCTATGCTGCCTTGACGCTGGCTTGATGCTGGCTGTGCGCTGCACTGTGGACGACGATGCGGGACTGCGGCGACATGCTGGCGCCTTCTTTCTGAGCGCCAGCCTTGCTGATGTGGCGCATGCCAAATGTCTCCTTGCTGATGTGGCACATGCCACCTGTCTCCATTGCTGATGTGGTGCATGCCACCTGTCTTCATTGCTGATGTGGCACAGGCCATGCTGTCTACACGGGGTGATTGGTCGCGACAAGGAGGGAGATCGGGATCTGTGGATGATTGAGGAAAGGGATACTTACCTGAGGTTGACGTCGATATTAAGCGCTGCTGATTGTCTTCATTGTCTTCATGAGAGAGCAGTGCCACGTGGCACTTCTATGTGATCAGGATTTGTCAGACTCATTACTGGATACTGTTTGCTGACGTGGAGGCGAGGGGAAGCCCGGAGAAGGAGTGGGTAATGTTGGGCTACTCTCTTGGTGGTCATTGATTATCTTTTCCATCCTCTTATCTGCCTATTACCCCTCCACTCTCTTCGCCTACTGGTAATGAGACATTGTATCAGAGATCACTTTCACGATTGTTGGAGACATTGTTCAGTTCGAGTTATCTGCTACCTCGACGTCTTTGAGTATTTTCCAGTCTGGGTTCATTACACGAGGAGGAGAAAGTCAAAAGTCAACAGTCAGTCCGGATCCGGGAGAAAGTCAAACAGTCAAAAAGATTGACCTTTGCAGGACTCAATGGACCAGCACATGTTGCACGTAGACGGCAGGGTGCTCTCAGCCTCGCCTCGCACTGCTATCTCCTACCATCAGTGAATCCCATCCGTTCATTTGATCTCAGACGTCAGTGCATCTCATCCATTCATTAATTCGACCCAGACTTTGAGCAGTCGAACTGTCAAAAAGGTATACTTCCAGGGTATTCCACGTTGAGTCGATTCCACATTGACTCAATTCCACATGGACTCATGGAGTCAATTCTGTATTGACTCAGTTCTACATGGAGTCAATTTCACATTGACTCGATCTGCTGCCACAAGCACTCAAGCATTGGGTGATGCCTTACCCACCACCTTATCGTCATTGGGTGATGCCTTATCCACTACCTTATCCACTACCTAATCCAGTATCTAATCCACTACCTTATCCACTACCTTATCCACTACCTAATGCACTACCTTATCCA